TTGGTTTAGTAAGGGTAGTCCCTTATACATAGTTTACTAGCTCTATACTAATAGTTGGAAACTGTTTGAATATTATCTTAGCACAGATTACATGCCCCCATAGAAAATGAAAGATATTTTTAGAAATAGCAAACATTTTTCCCAGATTTGTTACAACTATTAAGGTTTACTGAATTTTAGAAATGTACACATTCCAGTGCTAGTATTTGATATTTTGATGCTTTTGATGATGTTTACTGTAACTTTATATATGAATGAAATGCTGAAAGAATGGAGGGAGACCTCGAAGTGCAAAATGATAGACGGGCCTGTGTGCCACATTCTTTACCCTTTGAAAATAAAACTCGTTCTTTCTTTCTTTCTTTCTTTCTTTCTTTCTTTCTTCTTCTTCTTCTTCTTCTTCTTCTTCTTCTTATTCTTATTCTTCTTCTTCTTCTTCTTCTTCTTCTTCTTCTTCTTCTTCTTCTTCTTCTTCTCCTCCTCCTCCTCCTCCCCCTCCTCCTCCTCCTCCTCCTCCTACTTCTTTTTCTTCTTCTTGTATTCCTCCTTCTCCTCTTTGGAAAACTTTTATTTGTGTGTGTGTGTGTGTGAGAGAGAGAGAGAGAGAGAGAGAGAGAGAGAGAGAGAGAGAGAGATAATTCTGCAGTGCTGTGAGCTTGTACAGCCTAAAGTTTAGTGAAAGCGTGTCACAGTCATTAAGGTACAGGGGTTCCATTTTATAGCCGGACATCTGAAAAACACAGCTGTGTTGAACTGAACTGACTTTCTACCCCACCAGGACATCACACAAGCGATAAACACCCGATGACACAAAGTGCCACCATGTGGACGAGGATCGCCGTGGAGAGGTCCCAGAAACCGCGTTCAGACATTTTGCCATATATATGGCCTGCCTATATTGCGGCCCCTGGCAAAAGCCAGAGTAGGGCTTCAAATGACAAAATTGGATATAATTAAACTGGTATTTATTTGCCGCGTTGGTTGCGGTGTTCCTTTTTTGAGGGTGGGGGAGGGGATACAAATAGACACCAGAAATGTGTATCTGATGTCCACTCAAAACTCAAGTTCTAGAACAAGACCAAAGTCTACAGGTGGACAAACAACCAAAACTTTACGCCGGCGTTTACAGCCGGTGAAGGCTCAGAAGAAGGAGAAAAAATGAAAGTAAAGCGGCATCGTGGAAGAGATTGATGCTATACCATGTCATATTGCACAAGATAAAGTACTTTCTAAAGTCGTGCCAAACTTTAACAATCTGTAACTCTGTAACCGTTAAAATTGTTGACATTTGGCGTGCAACCCGTTAATAACCATGTCCTTGTAAGAACACAATTGTAGTGTTAACAGACATCTCGTTGTTATTTTACCTTATTTGTGCTATTTCAATAACCCCACAACAACAACAACAACACAGACACCGATTCGAAGCATACAGTTAGAATGTTTGCTGTAAATGGCTTGAGGAGAAGATAACACAGCCATAAAACTGCCCGTTTTTTGGAGGTAATACCTGCGAGAAATTTAAGCACACTTATTTTTTAAATAGTGTCGTGGATACGTCATATTGTGCCATAATGCTTGTTGATTTGCTTATAAAAAAAAGTACACGATTTGTGTCAATTACTATATAGGCTTCACCCCTTCCAGGTACACAGATTATTAGTTAAACAAAGATCAAAGAAATTCATGTGTAAATTATGAAATCATAAGGGCATAGGGAACCTAAGACCACATGCAAAAATTCATGTTGATCAGTACAGGGGTTTTCGAGATATCTGTTAGTTGAAGGGCAAAACTTTTGGGACGGACTATAGCGGTGAATGTACATATATTCCTTGTAACCAACCTCAGTTCTGGAGACACACACACACAAACACACACCCACACACACACACATATCTTGACATGTGATCTGGTTAGTTGCGTATCCTTTACAGGACGTTGAAGAACCAACACCAATAGCCCCTGGCTGTTGTGTGGTTTTTCTAGGCAAATTTACGTCTAGTCGGCTTTCTTAATACCACTGTCGAAAGCAACGCAAGGCGCATGGCTCGCAGCTGGGATCGAAACCGTTTGCATCGACTTAGCCACAGAGCCGACGACATGTGATCTAGTGGTTAAAATCTTGTTATGTCACTCCGATTTTGTGAAACTTGATTGGCTCCAGTATGCTTATTTATTCATTTATTCATGGCGAATAATTTGGGCGCGGATGTTGACTGTGTTCGTTGTGTATAGGGCGGTTGTAAATATTTGTCCACCGTGATAAATTGTTAGAGTCAGTTGAAGTAACAGGAGAAATAAATTAACGGGTATTGATTGCCACTGGTAGAAACCTAGGGGGAATCCGTTAGAACACACACACACACACACACACACACACACACACACACACACAGAGTGAGAGAGAGAGGGCATGGGCGCTGGAACCTGTTTAGGAGGCGGGGGGGGGGGGGGGTTTGAACCTGACTGAGCTGCCTCAAATAATTATAAACTATTTATGGAAAGTATCTTCAAAAATATTTGTTTATAATTTAATATTATTTCATGTATATTATTACATTCACAGTGGCTTGGGGTGAGGGTAGGGCTTATGGTGCCTTGATCCTCTGTCGTGTACCTTGACCCTCTGTCGTGTGCCTTGACCTCTGTCGTGTACCTTGATCCTCTGTCGTGTGCCTTGATCCTCTGTCGTGTGACCCTCTTGGGCTACAGCCTCTGGGGTATCAAGTGAGAGACGATTTTTAACCAAAAACATCTGGGAGGGGTAAAAACCACGACAAACTGAATAGATCCCCACCCAAGCCTGGTATCAGTGAGACGACAAAAATCACGATACTGGGTTATAATCTGGTATCAGTGAGACGACAAAACCACGACACTGGGCTACACCCTGGTATCAGTAAGACGACAAAACCACAACAGTGCTACGATCTGGTATCAGTGAAACAACAAAACCACGACACAGGGTTACTACCTGGTATCAGTGATACGACAAATGAAGAAGTCCTGTGTGCTTGTCTGCTGTTGAGCACTTATCTGTTTCCGTTGCTGTGTCCAGCCAAAGGCCCTAGAGTGGCTGAAAACTCAAGAGTTCACCACTGCATATTTGCTCAGCGACTCAATGAGCTTGCTATAGAAGATCGAGGTGGGGTACGACGGAAACAGGTGCTCCATCTGATACAGCACGCAGCGTGGAAAATCCCCTTCATTTTTTTTCTCCCAGGCTATGCTGGTGTGAAAGGCAATGAAAGAGCTGACACTCTGGCTGGCAGTGCGACTATCAGGAATGTGGCCCTCTATGGACAGGAGAGACATCATAAGTGTCATACAAGAGACCAAACATGTGAGGCTTTCAGTTTTGGGGAAAATGATTTTTTCTCACTTAATAGACCGCACACAGTTGGTGTTGCAATTAGAGCGGCTAGACATGAAAACCACGCGGGAGCCGCCCAAAATAGAATGGGAGTTACTAGACTTAAAAATACTTGGAGACATATTCAGGAGAGATCGGAGCACTTATGGTCATGTCCGATGTGCGATAAAGATGAACTCAAAAATGAACAATGAACAGTGTCCACTCACTCAAAAATGAACAATGTCCAGACAAGTTCTGTTTATCAGCCTCGTGAGGCTGGTTTATTAACGCTACTGTCGTTGTCAAGTGTATTTTTGGTAACTATAGTCTGCTAGTTTGTATTGTATTACAGGGGGCTGCGTGGTCGAGAGGCACGGTGTCCGCCTCGAGTGCTAGAGGTTCTCGGTTCAATCCCTGGTAAGGGCTTGGAATTTTTTACGTGGACTTGAATTTCTAGTAATTCCTCCTGATCTCTGGGTAGTGAGATCGGACGCCCGTGTGCATTACTGTGCACGTAAAAAAAAAAATCCCTTGGCAGTTGAAAATCGAAAAAAGCAGCCTAACCGCGCGCCCGGGCAACATTTTGAGTTAAAAATATCCCCAAAATATTTAAGGATCCTCGCCGGTGCTACAGAGCCTGTGCACTGTGCTGAGCTTCTTCGGACTCAGATTTGAGTTAGAAGAAGAACAGAGCATTAATGGGTTACTACCCGTGTGCCTTAAAAATGAGAATTGTCAAATGTTATGTATTCTCAACCTTACTGTATGGCACAGAGACATGGACAATGAACAGACAACTGGAAAATCGTATCAATTCTTTGGAGATGTGGATATACAGAAGATTAGGTCGTATTTCATGGAAATAAAAACTATCAAATAAAGAGGTACTGAGGAAATTGGGAATGAAAAGAGAGTTGCTAGGTGAAATAAAAAAGAGACAAGTGAAATATTTTGGTCACATTAAAAGACATAACAGTATTGATCATCCTAGAGGAAAAGGTTCAAGGTAGGCGAGCAAGAGGCAGACAGCTTTACAAGTGGGAGGATAACATCAAGAGATGGACGAACAGCAGTATGAGTGAGTGTACATCAAGGGCAAGAGACAGGGCTTGTTGGAGATCCATTGCAGCCAACCTTTATTGTGGAGGCGGCACCTGGTTGATTGATTGACTGACCCGTGTGCCGTGATGTTGATCCGTTGTGCAAACCTCAAACCTCTATTATATTACATCGCACACACCGAACACAGGGACTGCCATTGCACTGGCGCCTTTGTCTGCTAGAATTTTTTTTTTTTTATAAGAGTAAAAGTTAAGGATCCCTTTCCACGCCCTTAGGCGTAAAGGCCATATGGGGCTAGACCTATATTTTATAGACCAATCGGCACAAGATGGGTGATATGGTCAGCATCACACTGACCGCCTTTACTTCCCGGGACTGCACCCAGTACCCACTTAAGGCTGGGTCGACCTGGGAGCCAAGGTCATTTTAAAAACGTCGGGCTTCGCCAGGAAGCGAACCCACGACCTTCCGATCCGCGGCGAACGTCTAGCCGCTCCGCCACGGCGACTCACCCTTGTTTGCTATAAACTCTGATATTTAATGACTTATCTAACAAGTTTCCTCAATTTGTTCTCCCCAGAAAAGGCAGTCACAAAACTACAGTTGGACAGCATTGACATTTCCCGGCGTCACCTTTCCTTCGCCAGCGATCAGCATGTAAGTCCATTTTTCAGGATCTCCTTCAGCTCTTTCAGGACCTCGAAAGCCACCCTAGGGACATTGCTTATTCGTTATATAGAACACATTTATGTTACTTTTCTTACCCCTTTCTTGAACACCACTCCTCCTATTGAGGATGTGGAGAAGGATAATTAGGAGAGGAGGTGAGGAGGAGGACTAGTATATAGTCTAATTGTCTTATTTTCTATTACTTCTATAAGTGCCCTTCATTTTATGTGAATGCATTTTTCATGCTGTTCCAGTAGTCTCAAGTGTTCTCTAGCGATAGATGATAAGATGTTGGTGTTGGGGAATTTTACGATTGCTGAAGTTGAACCAGGGAACATAAACTGATACGACACGAACGAAGCTGGAAAAATGAATACGAGTAATGAAGTAGGGCAGGAAGATGAACAGATATTAAGGAGTCATAAACACCTACAAAAAATAATGGAAACCGATAAAAAAAAATTGACTGTAAAGGTAAGTGTGCAGTAAAGAATGTCGAAGGAGTCTGAACAGAGAGGATTAGTTCTCATATTTAGCTCCCAGAAGGCAAGAGTTCTTCTTATGTGGAGCCGCCGAGGTCTAGCAGCCAGACGCTCGCCTACAGATAGGAAGATCTTGGGTTCGGTTCCTGACGAGGCCTGGACTTTTTTTTTAAACGCTGGCTTCTAGGTCGACCTTATTTTGAGTGGGTATTCGGTACAGTCCTAAGAAGTAAAGGCGATGCTGACCTCATCACCTACCAAGTTCAGTTTGGACTATAGAATATAGGTCTAGCACTATATACCCAAGACCTGAATGTAACCGAGTGAGCCCAGCGCTTTGTGCAAAAGGTGATCTGTGACGGCAGCTGCGCTGAACTATGACTTCGCCTGCAGCACCTTGAGCCTACCTGCAAAAGTCGGCAAACCAAGGACCCTGTTGTTGTGGTAATTCAACCTGCTCCACGTAAGCTCCCTGGTTTTTCACTGTTGATTGAAGTATTGTTATCTGGTTGCATATATTTGCTTTGCGATTTTACCCCCAGTCAAGACACTGGGAACAGTTAATGACAAGATCAGTGAAGACTTTACCTTTGCCAACTCCAAACAAAGCTTGCTGTGGTACTGATTGTTTATATTAAATCCCAACCTTCATGTCGCGTGTTTTCTCACCTCTAACATTCACTTTAAGAATTCTAAAGAAATTTGACTTTAGAGTGATCAGTTCCTCTTGTAATTCACATATCTGAAAGGGTTTATTGAACAGCCTTTAAAGTCTATGGTTAAGCACCAGCAAGGAGATACAAATTAGAATTTTGAGAGCATGCATCTTCCCTGTGGCTACAGACGGATGTGAGTCGTGGACTATCTCTCAGTCCTTAAGAAAGAGAATAGGGGCTTTTGAGCTGAAATGCTATAGAACGATTCTCAGAATATCTTGGACAAAGAAGATGAGAAATATTGACTTCTTAAAAGATCTGAACATCAAGGAAGATTGGCTAATAAACAGCATCCTTTCACGAAAGCTGAAATATTTTGGTCTTATCAAGCGCCACGACGGATTGGAAAATGTTATAACAGAAGGCATGGTACCAGGAAGGAGGGGCAGGGGCCGACCGACACGAAGTTGGGTACAGGATATAAGTGACTCCTTGAGTGTGAAAGTTCATGAGGCGGGAGAACTGGCAAGAGACCGAGTTTCTTACAACCAGACTGTGATGAGAGCGACGTTCTGCAAAGGACCTGCTACATGATGATGATGAAAGGGTTTCATGCACAATTTTTCCTCCCAAAGTGACCGTTCGAGTAATGGCAAACTGCTGAACGTAAAATTTGCCTAGCAAAACCACAAAAGGCCAAAGAATGCTGAGGTTGGTTCTGTAACGTCCCGTAAAGGATAGGCAACTGCCAAACTACCAGTTACTTCCTTTATATACCACTTCTGCTGTGTAGGCAGGGGGTCTTTTGAGCCAGAGCTTTTAAGGCCGTGTGGCTAGTGCTGTCGCCACAACTGTGCTGGTGAGGATTTTTTTTATTTTGCCCCCGACATAAAAAAAAATGCCCAGTCTTACCGAGAATTCGAACCCGGGTCTCCCGCATAAGAGCCTAGCATTCTAACCGTTCTAACCGCTCCTCAGGATACGCAACTTACTTTTTCAAAACTTTTCAGAAAAGTTTCTCCCTTACTGTCCAGCTGATACACATTTTTTTTAGCACAGAAAAAGTAAAAAAAAAATATTTAAAAGGTGGGTTATTTAACTGGTCCACTAAACTTTTTTGGGGGGGGGGGGGGGGGGGGGGGGGGGGGGGGGGGGGGGGGGGGGGGGGGGGGGGGGGGGGGGGGGGGGGGGGGGGGGGGGGGGGGGTATTCGAAGAAGAGGAGGGCAAAGAAGAAACTGAAATGACAACATCAAGAAATGGACAGGACTAAGTTATCATACATTTATTCATCAAGCAGAAGACGAGAAAGATGGCGGGTTTTATGTGCTAGTGCTTCCAGCGATACACCTCCACGACCCTAATGGGTCAAGGGTTATGTTGTTATGTTAAACTCCATCCCAATACGGGACGCATTTTGGTTTTCTTATTCTTGAGTCCCCATCCCTGCTATCATCAGGGGACCATAAATATAACCTAATGGTTGAACAGGGTTTTTGGGACTTGCGCCCGGGCGATTCTCATCCGAATGGTGGCACTTTGTGTCACCAGGTGTAAATCGCTCGTTGTGTGACCCCTGGGGTAAAACGTCACTCACTCATTCACTCACTCATTTCCTCACTCACTCCTCACTCACTCACTCACTCACTCACTCACTCACTCACTCACTCACTCACTCACTCACTCACTCACTCACTCACTCACTCACTCACTCACTCACTCACTCACTCACTCACTGGTCCACTTAAGGGATTTATGTTGTGTCTAGAGCCGATACCGAACTTGACCTTATGGCTGTGACCAGCAATAAGTTTATTAAATTTTTTATTATCATTTGTGGCTTGATTATCCCACGGGATTAGCAGGCAGTTCCTTCATCCTGTTATGTCTTCGGCGGTTTTTTTTTTTAAATAAAAACTAGCTGTACCCGGCCACGCGTTGCTGTAGCATAGTTTGGCTAAATGGAAAAGAAAGAAAATAAAAATCGCACGTGTCTAATATGGTTACTGTCGCAATCTTTGTCTGCGCAGAGATAGTCCGAGCCCCCCCCCCCCCCCCTGCCAAATTCACGTACTACTCGCTTCCTCATCAAAGACTTTTGGGAAAAAAAGACAATAGAAATCGCACGTGTCTAATATAGTTAATGTCGCAATCATTCTCTGCACACATATAGAGATAGTCTGGTTTGCCACTTTAGAACACGCAACATATAATTGCGTCTTTATATAAGTGGTCGCTTAAATGGCATTATTAGCACAGTACAAAAAAATGGTTATTTGGTTATCACATGCTAAAGCTGTTTGTATTTTTTTAAAGAGACGGAAGTAAAGCTTACTACTGTACTTGTAAATAACCAAGTAAGTCTTTAAAAAAATGAGAATAGCTGAGGTAGCGTTAGTAAAATATAAACAAATTAAGAAATGAAAACTTTAAAATCATGCGTTAAGCTCTTTAAGTTAACAGTTTCTGTCATCACCCCCCCTCCCCATATGCTCTCTCTCTCATCGAAGGATTTGAAAGTCATCACCCGACGATATTTTTTGTAACTGACGCTGATATCCGGACTAAAATAGGGAGCAGGAATTGTAATGAGTAGTAAATGCGGCTAGTGTAATATTCACCACACTATCCTTCAAGTACAAGTACAACTACTACCACCACCGTACCACAATAAATAAAATAATTGCACTGCTATCTGTTTTACCTTAGTAGTAGACAGGGAGTCGTGAGCCAGAGGATTTGGCGCCGCAAGGCTTACGCTATCAGCACGGACTGGTCAGGTTAGGATGTGTAATTTCGCTCCCCGACAGAAAAATGCCATCACCTTACCGGCTGTCTCCGGCATGACAGCACTACGGTGTAACCGCTCAATCACAACTACTACCACTGCTACTTTGAGTGGGTAAGGCAGTTACTTTGACTTGAAGCTCTTTCAGTTACCAGTTTATGCCACCCCCACCCCCCCCACCCCCCACTCCCCTCACAATTCGCCGACTACTCTTTCCTTCATCGAAGTAGTTTGGAGAAAAAACCAAGTGAAATGCGACGAAAACAGGAAAAATACACAATAATTACGAAATGAACGCTATGATAAACAATACAGCCTAATTTCAACGCAATGTCAGAAGAAATAATTAAATCTAAATGAAAATAAATGGAAATTTACGAAAATTCAGCGTTACCATGCAATCAGAAAGTTTAAAAAGAAATCATAAGTATGCGAAATGGACAAATTTAATTATCAACTGGTTTACCCACATACCTGTATTTTTTTTAAATAGTTTTTATGGCCACATGGCTAGTGCTGTCGCCACGACAGAGCAGGTCTGGGTTTTATTTTGCTACCGGGTAAAAAAAAAAAAAGGAAACTGCCGTACTGGGATTTCGAACCCTAGTCTCCCGCACGGGAACCCAGTGTACTAACCATTCGACCAGCCAACCACTGCTTCTTAACAACGAAAAGATAACAAAACTACGCAAGATGTGTGTCCCGATTCTAATACACCTCAAAACCGCAGGCAATTATTTTCTCATTAACAGATATTCCAGATATAAACTTCAAGTATTTTTGAAACGGCACAATAATAGAAATCGTACGTGTCTAACACGGTAAATGTCGCAATAATTGTCGGCGCAGACATAGATCGTCCCCCCTTCCTTTCTCTCCCCCCTCTCAAATCAACCAACTACTCTCCAACTCATCGAACGTTGTTTGAAAAGAAAGAAAATATAAATCGTGTATAATATAGTTAACGTCGCAATCAGCGATATAAAGATAGTCTGGTTTGCTGTACGGGCGGATGTAAAAAATGGAGGGTCCCGTGTCTACTGCGCCTGCACTGTGAATGTCAA